ATTTGGATATGTTTCATTAATCTGTTCCTTGATCTAACCTTTCGGCTCATATGAGCCATCTTCAGAGTGGTTATACGGACATTTGAACAACGATATTAACCATCGAAGATAATATTTTGTTATGTTGACATAACACTCCTTAAGAACCAAATAACACACACACTTAACAGGGATCAATAAACCTGTGAAAATAACCATGGGAATTCAGAGCAGCATGAATCCATCCAGCTCTTATCTCAAATAACAACTTAAAAGAGACTGTTTGACCAACACAAGAGCTGACCAAAATTCATATTAAAAAGATAAAAAAAAAAAAATTAAAAAAAAACAAATGAAAACTACAGACAAAAGTTCATTTTCTCCATCAAGACATTCATTTCTGTAGTTCACTGCTACCGGCAAACAGATTTTTTTTTCTCCTGATGATGGCCATGTTGGCCGAAACTAGTCGAGGAATCTGAATGAAATAATAATAAAAAAAAGAAAGAATATTAATATACAATCCAGTGTGTCTAAAGATTTTAATTTTTTAATAATTTTTTATTGTTCAATATATATATATATATATATATATATATATATATATATATATATATATATATAATATTCCGCTCGAACAGCTTCTTCCGGGGACCTCTGCTTTGTCGAACATTCGAGAGAATAGAAAAGTTCAGAGGAGATAACATTAGAAAGATTTTAGAGTCCCATGAAAATAAGTGGATACAACGTCTAAAAACACAATATCCAGCCGGGCTAAACCATAAATTTAACAATATAGATAGTTCCAATATATAAGTCAACAAATCAGAACCTACCCACATTTCTCATCCACACAAGACAGACATGCTTACGGAGGTGTGGGGGCCTCACACTTATACACTCACCCACACGAATATACACACTTACACACATCATACTCACTCACTCCCTAAGGAGCCAAATGATAACACACACCCACAGCAATACACACGCTTACGCATATCATACTCACTCACTCCCTAAGAACCAAATAACACACACACAAACACTAAACAGAGACACATCCCCTCACCAGGTCCAATAAAACTGTCAAACTGACCAGAGAATTCAGAGCAGCATGGATCCATCCAGTTCTTATCTCAAATAACAACTTAAAAGAGACTGTTTGACCAACACAAGGAATGTTAAAAGATTCATGTTAAAAAGATAAAAATAAAAAAACAAATGAAAACTACAGACAAAAGTTCATTTTCTCCAACAAAAGACTCATTTCTGTAGTTTACTGATAGCAGCAAGCAGAAATATTTCTCCTCGCGATGATGGCCATTTTGGTCGAAACTAGTCGAGGAATCTAAATGAAATAATAATAAAAAAAAACGAAAGAATATTAATCTACAACCCAATGTGTCTAAAGATTTTAATTTTTTAATTTTTTTATTGTTCAAAATATATATATATATATATATATATATATATATATATATATATATATATATATATACTAAATTCTAAATTTAGCCTAGCATGACGCAAATTGAGACAGTACGATCATCCTAAATGGATAAATCTCACTCTAGTCATTCCGCTCGAACAGCTTCTTCCCTGGGACCTCTGCTTTGTCGAACATTCGAGAGGATCTTTCTACAATCGGTAAAATCTTAACCTGTTCAAGTCTACGGTCAGCGGTTATCTTCCCCACATAGTTTGTGTCGCTTACTCTGTAATCCTCTACCTCGAGTAGCTCTTGAGCCTTGTACGGAGTGAACACTATTGTAAAAAAAAAATTCATTTTAGTCTGGCACGATATTGCAGTATTGTTTTAGGCCCGTACGTACTTCCGTAGTTGATCTCTTTTTGAGAAGAGGCTGGTTATCAACACGCATAGTTAAACGCCTTCGTCTGCGTTGCTATCAATTAAAGCGTTTTTCTCCGCATCTGCGTCCCTCATCAATGCCACTATGCAAATCTTTTCATTACTGGAATCAATAATACTGTTATCATTATATGTTCTGCAATCACTCGATTCGTAATTACCAGTATTTTACTGTGAACGGGTCCTTAAATGCCTCTCCTGGGAGTGGCACAACTGAGACGTGTCAAATATATGAGCACTCGTAATAGATTTAAGATGCGCAACAGAAACAAAGACAATTAGCATTATAATCCTGTTGATTTTATCTTCCTTGCTTGTTGAGACAGAATTTTTAACATTGGTTAAGGACCCTTCGCAATCGCCATTTTACAGTCACATGTGTTATCAAGAAATAATTAGTTCCGGGAAAGAGCTTAAGAACAGTCTGCAGCCTCATAGTGGTATCAAATGAAAGTAAATCTGAATTCAAAAACTGTATGTAGCAACTTGCATAACACATACTATACTGCTAAAGAAAGGAGCGTTCGCATTGGCTTGATGGTTCCAACTACGGTCGAATGATGATGAGGATGACAGTAATAAAAAATTATACTCAGGTGTGCCGGTAGCGTAACGATTAAAAGGACAAAAAGTGGAATCGACGGACCGAGTTCAAATTCTGACAGAGTCCGTTGCATTCATTTTCGCACTAACACTTTTAGAAAAGCATAAATCCATCACCGCTTCCACGGGGTTTAAATAACAGGGTAAAATGAGCTCTCTAGCTTCGGATGGCAGCCAGTCTAGGTGAAAGACACGTCCTAATTCAAAACTGTGAATAAGGCAAGAGAAAAGAATGGTTACTGAGGCATTATGTTTATAAGCGCCAAAAATCCATACATTGACGTCCTCGAAGACATATCGTCCACTGGATAAAAGCGTTGGTTGGATCCAGTGATTTGATCCAAAGAGTTGTGAATTCAATAAACGGTTACAGTTGAGGTGAACAAAAACTTGTGTTAGAGAGTTGAGTTAAAGGGAGATAACTGATACTGAAACACTGGGAAGAGGCATGGCACGTGGAACAAGAACAATCTACCCCCGGTGGACGAAATAAAGGGATCAGTTCGAACTTCCAATTACCTGAAGAAACATCGTGCATATGGCAACGAAGATGAGGACAATAGTCAAAACAATGTAAATAATGTAATTAATTAATTAAAAAAAAATTGACCAGAAACTGCAGTCAACTTCCCAACAAGCTAAATTATCCTTCGGACTCTTCGCTCTGTTGTAAATTTTTCGCAAGTCGTTAGGTTGAGAGTCTGTCTATATTTCTGAGATAAGGTATTATGTACATTATTTACATTATTCAGACTATTGTCCTCATCTTTGTCGCCATATTTATCACAACGTTTCGGCCGTTATACGCTCCGGCCTTCAGATGGTTGTAATTTCGAACTCAACCCTTTATTTCAATCACTGGGGTAGACTGTTCTAGTTCCACCTGTCATGTTTGATGGATGTCAGTTATCAGTTATCTTCTCCTAATTTTCCCTCTGAAAGTTCTCCACTGCCTTAACCGGGTATTGAACTCACACTCAAAGACATATAGTTCACTGGATAAAGGCGTTGGTTAGATCCAGTGACAGGACCCAAAGAGAGGCGCAGTATTTATAGTGTCAGGAAGAGTCTATTATCGTTATAGGTAAGTTCTATAATATATATATATATATATATATATATATATATATATATATATATATATATATATATATATATATATATATATATATATATATATATATGAAAATTTTCTTAGAGTTAACCTATAGAAAAAGATCATTTTATAAATGTAAAAGACAATAGGAAAACTGTAATTGTAGCCAACGCGTTTCGTCCAATGTGGACTTTTTCAAGGCAAAAACGAAATTAATTTATTAAACAAAGTAACTAATCAAAATGTCCTTAGCAACTGTAAGAATTTAGAAACGCTATTTTCATACTGTTAACTGAAAATTACGTCAAGTACTGTCACGTGTGGATATCTATATATATATATATATATATATATATATATATATATATATATCGAATGACGATGATAAATTTTCTTTCTTTTTTCCAAAATTTTGTTGTTACTGGCATGGCACTCTCGGAATACTCAAGTCTCTTCTTCATCTATGGAAAGATTGTCTAGCATTCAGTGAGGACTGTTACTATATAAGAGTTCAGTACTCTTTTCTTTATTTCCAATGAAATTTTCTTTGCTTCTGGAACGCAACAATTCGCCTACAGTCCTCTGTTAAATCCCTTCTCAGATATCCGAATTGTCGAACTTGTTTGATCTCCAATTTGTAATTTGCATGTTGGGGTGACCCTTTTGCTAACAACCATGCATTTCGCCTTCTTGAAATTGATTTTGAGTTATTTCTTCTCGCTTTCCTCGGATAATAACGGCTCTTAAAATTCTCAGCATCCTTCTGTAGAGCCACATTTCTGTTGCCTCAAGTCTCTTCTTCAACTGCGAGGATAATGTTCAGCATTCACTGCCATATATGAGAACTGACAAAACTAAAAAAAAATAAAACACAACCACAGAACCAATAAAATTGACGCAATATATAAACATCTTGCAAACTACCTGCAAAGCCATCAAATCTGCCTTAAAATTGCGTTGTTGAAATATAATAAAATATATATATATATATATATATATATATATATATATATATATATATATATATATATATAAAGTAGTCATTATCTGTCTGTTCGTTTGTTATCGAACTCCTCCTAGAGTCTCGGAGATATATCCCCATAACCATATATATTCTGAAACTACATTACCCAGGTTACTTGGGTAAATATATTTCATTTTGATCAAACGGTATTCCCTCTGGGATGGGGCAAAAACCTCCAGTTGATTTTTCCCTTTGATATAAATTCAATTTCATTTTGATAAAAGGGGGTCCCGGGGGCACCTCACCAAAACTGAAGCGTTTTCCCTTTTATTTAAATTAAATTTAGATTTGAACAATGGAATGACTCCAATGCAAAATAGAGAAGGAGAAACCTGAAGCTGGAGGTCACATCGGTAAGTTCGTTTGGTAATATTGAAATGCATCACTTTTCTCTACAAATTATAACATTGTTTTAAAATCAATCATCAAGGCGCAGGTAATCCGGCTAGTAATTTTATAATAAAGAAGTAGAAATTTGAAACGGTGCCTGGGAAATGGCAAATTCGAAACGGTGACTGGGAAATGGCAAATTCGAAACGGTGACTGAGAAATGGCAAATTCGAAACGGTGAGAAATGGCAAATTCGAAAGAAATGGAAACGGTGAACGGTGACTGAGAAATGGCGAAACGGTGACTGGGAAATGGCAAATTCGAAACGGTGACTGAGAAATGGCAAATTGAGGAAATGGCAAATGCGAAACGGTGACTGAGAAATGGCAAATGCGAAACGGTGACTGAGAAATGGCAATGCGAAACGGTGACTGGGAAATGGCAAATTCGAAACGGTGCCTGGAGAAATGGCAAATTGAAACGGTGACTGAGAAATGGCAAATTCGAAACGGTGACTGGGAAATGGCAAATTGAAACGGTGACTGAAATGGCAAATTGAAAATGGCTGAAATGGCAAATTCGAAACGGTGACTGGGAAATGGCAAATTCGAAACGGTGACTGAGAAATGGCAAATTCGAAACGGTGACTGGGAAATGGCAAATTCGAAACGGTGACTGAGAAATGGCAAATGCGAAACGGTGACTGGGAAATGAAACGGTGCCTGGGAAATGGCAAATTCGAAACGGTGACTGAGAAATGGAAATTGGAAACGGTGACTGGGAAATGGCAAATTGAAACGGTGACTGAGAAATGGCAAATGCGAAACGGTGAAACTGGAAATGGCAAAGAAACGGTGACTGAGAAATGGCGAAACGGTGACTGGGAAATGGCAAATTCGAAACGGTGACTGAGAAATGGCAAATTCGAAACGGTGACTGGGAAATGGCAAATTCGAAACGGTGACTGAGAAATGGCAAATGCGAAACGGTGACTGGGAAATGGCAAATTCGAAACGGTGACTGCGAAAAATCGTCTGGGAAATGCTCACTGTGAATCGTAACTTTTCGTCTTAAAATGGTTTAGAAGAAAAAAAATACTGTAACATTTGAGATGGCGTCTTCTGATTTTTTTTTGTTCAGATTATTTATCACATTTTTTTTCTTCCGGCTTGCGATTCTGCGGCCATCTTTAGTTCTGAGATAAGGAAATGAAACAGGATCGGTTTTGCCAGAGATAGTCTCGCCCAATGCCGAAAATTGCTACAAAACCAAAACATCAATCGAAAACATCGAGTAACGTACTTAAATAGCCTGATCAAATCGAGACTTTAATTATGGATGCCATGCACGGCGCCAATTCCGTTTAGAAATGTCTAACCTTTCAGCTGTATACAACCGCTTCCTAAGATCAGCGGTTAAAATGGCTGTGAGCTGGTGAAGCCTGAGGGTCTTGTCAAAGACTACCCTTCCTTGAACATTTTGGACTGGCAAATAATCCCAAAGAATTGTATCAAATAATATAAACCGCATCACTTGAGGACTACCAACAACAGCAACAACTAAAATGTATAGCCTATGTGACCCAATGAGAAAATAATAATATAATTAAAATGTTAACATTCTGCATTACTTCAAATAAGAGGTTAGTAAGGAAAAGCTCCGTCAATACTGTCTGACGCTCAACTTCCCGAGAGCACCTCTCTGCGTCTGTTCGGTCTCACTTTGTCTACTGACTTGAGATGGAGCAAATACATTGAGTCAATAGCTTCGTCCACCGCAAGGAAAGTTGGCTCCCTGTGCCGCACCAGGAAATTTTTCTCCCCGGAATCGATCCTCCAGATCTACAAATCATGGAGTATTGCTGCCGTATATGGTCTGGTGCACTTTCTGTTTGTCTCTGGATTCTTGATAAGATCCAGAGGCGGATATGCAATGTAATTGTCCCTGATCTGGCATCTCGTCTACAGTCGCTCTCTCACAGACGTGACCTGTCTTTTTTAAAAATACTTTCATGGTAATTGCTCCGATGAGCTGCTTTCGCTGGTTCCCAGACTTCGCAAATTCAAGCGTCCTACGAGGCTGGCATCCCGCTCTCACCCTTCCACTGTTGAAACTGTTAAATCTAGCCATCTCTTCTACTCCAATAGCTTCATATCTCGCACCTCTCGCCTGTGGAACTCCCTTCCCTATTCCTGTTTCCCTGATAGCTTTAATCTCCAACTATTCAAATATAATGTCAATCGATATCTCCAGTTGCCTTGATCTATCCACTATCCTTTTCCCCATCCTTTCCTCTATCACTCCTATCTACTCTCGCTCCAAATCCTCTATAATCTCTTGAGTGCTAGTGGCTTCCAGCCTTGCTTGGGGGTGAAACACTTAAAAAAAAAAGAAAATACTGGAAAGGGTAATAACAAATACTGGATTTGATAAACTTGTTTTTATGAAAAAAAATCTTTGAAGAGAAAGATTTTATAATTACAACTGATGGCAGTACTGGCTGCTCGGTCACTGAAAGCCGAATATTTCCTTATAGGGAAACGGCTAATATTATTCATTACCATTGTAATTACATTTTCGGAATAACAGGGTGAGATGGATAAATTGTCGCCTGAATTACTTACACTGGCATCCCATTTTAACAGATATATTCACCAAAATTACACAAAAATATATTCAAATACTAAAGAGTAAATTTATAGAATAAAATCGCCATTGGCTCCAACCACGGCTCCCAGTCGACATTTTACAACTCTTGTGGACGGTCTCCTTGTTTAAGTTGATGATAGTCCTTGCCTTCAGTCCATCTTTGGGGTTACATTGAGTTTTGTTGGTCTTTCACTCAACTGCGTCTAAAACATAATAATCAAGGGTGCTGCACTCTGGGAAGTTATGTGGTCAGATGTAAATGGTGATGTGGTAAAAGGATTTGTCTGACAACAATGATTGGGTTCTCCTGCTTATGTGCCATGGCGCTGACTCCTGTTGTAAGACATAGGGTCTTCCAGCAGGCAGCCACTTGACCCAGGGCAACACTATCTCCACAAGGTACTTTATGCAGGCCTCCGTGTCTGAGGCCCCTATCGGAAGATGAACATTAGACACATCCTACTTACAGAATGCGATGTCGTCTAAATTACGCAAAAATGAAACTAACACTGACACCTCATTTTAACAGATATATTCACCAAAATTACTCAAGAATATCTTGAAATAATAAAGAGTAAATTTATTCAATAAAATCGCAATTGGCTTCAACCACAGACTTAGGAATATCCTGCAAATCTTATGGATGATCTCTGTTTACGTTGTTGAAAGCCGCCATAATCCTTGCTTTCAGTTTATCTTTGGTGTCGCAAGGAGTTTTGTTGATCGACTGTGCCCACAAATAATAATCAAGAGGGTTGCAGTCTTGGGAGTTAGTTGGCTAGATATAAGGGGTGATGTGGTCGCAGTAATTGTTTGACAGGCTCTGACTAGGTTTGACTACTTGTGTGGCATGGTGCAGAGTCCTGTTGCCAGATATAGTGTCTTTCAGCAGCCACCCTCTCGGCCCAAGAGCATCAATACCTCCTCAAGGCACTTAATGTAGGCCTCTGTGTTGAGTCTGACAAATTGCGTTCAGAGGGCGTTTTCTTAGCTGATGTGCCTTCATAATCATCATTAGACTCATCCAACTCCTTCCGAATGCTCAGCACTGTCTTCAGATTGACACCGAAACACTCTGAAATGTTTGTATTGGAACTACCGGCGTGAATGCCAAGCAGCATAGCTATGCCTTTTCCAAATTTCTGGCGGAGTAAATTGCGTCATAGTACTCTTTTTCTCACAGACGATGACCATCTAACCTTACTATACTTTGCAGTCGACAAAATGAAAAACAAACAACGCGCATGCGCGAAATTGAAAATATAAAATGGCTTCAATTTACCCTGTATAATGCATCTCCTATGATTAGCCACTTCTTGGTTTATCGATATGCAAAATACTTATTGGAATCTTTATTTCCTGGAAGATAGCAACATCTGTCGGCGCATTTAGGAGGAAGACATAAATAAGCGACAGACATTCGTTTATGTTCTGTTTTCCGAAGTGTTAAATAAATAAACATGTTGCGAATTTAAAATTCCTTTAAAAAATAAGATCGTAAATCTCATTTGACGGATAAATAGAAATATTTAATGATCTACCACTCGTTCCTGCATGGAATATTTCTGCGATATCTGGTTTGTTGCTTCTTCTATATATATCGAGATTCTTGACAAAAATCCAAAGAGGAGTATGCAATATAATCGGTCCTGAATTGAAGTCTCCGTTTCAGTCGCTTTCTTATCAGCCTGACGTGGCTTCCATTTTTTTTTCTAGAAATATTTTCATGGCAACTGGCTTTCCTCCTTAGACTTATGGGAACTACTGAGGACTTCATAGAGACTTTGAGGTATTATGGTGACTGTAATAAGAATGATAAGAATGTGCTATTTTGGTCTAAGGAATACTGTTGTATGTTTGGGTCATTAAGTGTGGCTAGCAAAATTTGAGATAAAACAGATTGAAAACCAGCCTTCCCCTATCTCCCTTTTGGCCGTGTGCCACATTTTTTTTTTTTTGTATTTATCAGTATCGCTTTTGTTCTTGGCGTCTCGACTGCATGAATTTAAGCTTACTACTAGATTGGCAGTCAGGTCTCACCATTTTTCTGCTGAACTAGCTCGAACGAACCGCATGTTCTATTCTAATAGTTTCTTTTCTCACCTTGGAACTCTTTTCCGGTTTCTTGCTTCCCTGCTATGTACAGTCTTTAAATGTTTAAACGCAACGTCAATTTCCTTATTTTGTCTTCCTCAACCTCAAATCTATTCTTTTATTGTATTTTCTCTTCACTTAAGTCTTCTTATTCTATTTCAATCTACATAAGCCCTAGCCTCTTAGTGGCATTATCTCCTTGTTTGGGGATAAAAAATAAATAAATTCAGTGCTTGAAAAAGATCAAACTGTACTGGAAATTTCAAACAAATGTTCGGCAAGAAGTGCGAAAATTTTTCGTTGAAGATTCTTGACCATTTCGGTGCCTATCTGATAATGTCCAGTTGAGACGTTTTTTGTTTTGTTTTGTTTTTGTTTTGTTTTTTGGGGTTTTTTTTTTCTCGCTGACCTGTGTACTCAGTTGAAAGAGATATGACCCCCAATATGAGAGGTTCTCGACCTTTATCATCCAGCTGCCCCTTTTTCGCTATTTGTAAATTTATAAAATCAAATATTTTACTGACAATGTTTTTTTTTTTTTTTAATCTAATCCTTGTGGTTGGATTAGGGTTAAATATTTAATATTTGGTTTGAAATTTGTAAATTTTATTCTTGTGTCGCCTCGAGTACATATTTTAATTTTACTTCTTTCATTGGTCAAGATTTTATTGATTGCACTGAAACCACAGTCAACGAAATAAGAGGTTGGAAAGTATAGCAGTATTTTAGCCATTTCAGACCAAATGTTCGGACACAGCTGTCTCGCTGTATTCGATAGCCATTATTCTGTTATATAGCCGCTTTCAAATTTGTATTTGCATTCATCATTGTGTTTCAATTCAATATGTTCTTCCTGCATATTTTCACTGACAGCTTCTATGTCGCATCCGAAGGAATCCATTATCCACGGATGGAACTCTAACGAAAATCAATCTGAAAATCAACTACTTAGTTCTTCTTCCAATTTCACTTAATATTCTGTGTACTTTTTACTTGTTTGCTCTGGCAGATGTTCACTTACTTCTGTAAACTCGGGCAAGTTATTGAAATTCGAAATTTCTCGAAGTAAGTCTATTTTTTCAGAAAACGATTTCTCGAAATAAGTCTAATTTTTCAGAAAACGATTTCCCAAAATAAGTCTAATTTTTCAGAAAACGATTTCTCGAAATCAGTCTAATTTTTCAGAAAATGATTTCTCGAAATAAGTTTAATTTTTCTGAAAATGATTTCTCGAAATAAGTCTAAATTTTCAGAAAACGATTTCTCGAAATAAGTCTAATTTTTCCGAAAACGATTTCTCGAAATAAGTCTAATTTTCAGAAAATGATGTCTCGAAAAAAGTCTAATTTTTCAGAAAATGATTTCTCGAAATAAGTCTAAATTTTCAGAAAACGATTTCTCGAAATAAGTTTAATATTCATGGAAATGATTTCTCGAAATGAGTCTAATTTTTCAGAAAATGATTTCATTTAACATTTTGAAAAATCTATGCTAAAAAGGAAATGTCTCATTTGTGATGTCCAGTTTCCTCTGAACAATTTTTTTTCATCCATATTTTCCTATTTTGTTCCGAATAGGTTTACAAATCTGACCAGGCAGTTTCCTTTCAAAATCCAAAGAAATACCTTATGGATAATAAGACTTATATACTGTTCATCGGTATCAATACAAAACCTTCGAAAATTGAATGTTTTTAATAACTACGGTTAATGACTCATGAAGATCAAGGTTAATATGTTTGGCAACTAATCGATGACAACGCGTCATGCAATGCATAGCAAACATAGAAGGACATATAATTTTTAATGCGCAATAAATCCTTTATGCTTTGCTAAACATGAATGTGACCCCATCCATTGCGCAGGATAGCAAGTTTTCAAAGGGTACGTTCACAGAATTTGCAGGAATCATCTATATAAATGGCATATGCCATAAGAATAGCTTCATTATCGCTTACAGAAGATTCATCAATCTGAATTGAGAATTTAGTGCTTTTTAATCTTTTAACTAGTTGTCTTTCCAAATCTGTTTATCAAATACTCCCAGCCTGAATCTATATTTCGTTGTCAAGATGGAGTTTTCAATCTAGAGGACACAGTGTTTATGATACAAAACCGAGGAGAGAGTATCTTGCTTTGGTTAAGTTTCTTTTAAAATGGAACAGGAGTCTACGTAAGAGTTAAGGGGAGAATGAAAAGTGGAGGTTATTTTGAAAACTTGGATGTCAACTTGAAAGTGTCTGTTAGAATCTTGAGGCCGAAGCGTGGTTGGAGATCTTAAAAACGGCACTGATCCAAAACACGGATCTTAATGTAGATGGAAATGTCTGAAGAAAACTATACGGAAAAAACAAACAAAAATCCTTATATGCAATTATGCTGTTTTAATGTTAATATAATGTCAACGTCGGACGTTTCGGTCTAATAAACCATCTTCAGGACATATTCATAAACTATAATTAACATTATCAATTCAACCTTATCAAAGGCGATGGACATAAGAACTGAAAGTTTTATAAGATCAGCGTTCCGTTTAAACATGGTCACGTTGTCGTCACGTGGGCGACGCTGTGTAAAAGACCAAAACGTCCGACGTTGACATTATATTAACATTAAAACAGCATAATTGCATATAAGGATTTTTGTTTGTTTTTTTCCGTATATTTTTCTTCATACTGTCGGATCTATATCCATATATTTGCTTACATAGAAATGTCTTTACGTGTGGCCACGTCCCGAGTCTCGTGACCATTTGCGGAAGCCTATTTCCTTCTATGAAAAGACACGATCGGATGAAAGTAAAACGAGAATTTGGCAGAGCATAAGACAAAGAGTCAACGTGAGTCATTTAATCCAAAGAACACCGTTTCTACAACTAAAACATGAACGAAGGAATATTAAACTTTGGCGGTGTTTCTCCTCAAAAGAGACAGGAAACATGGAGAAGAGAGCATATTGCATTGACAGTGTTTCTTTGAAAATGGAACAAGAAGCCCGTTAAGAGTTTAGGGTATAAAGAAAAAAACGGGCGAACTTGGATATTTGTGCTCGCAAAAAAAAAACACGTAATTTCAAGAAGATGGTTTTTCCCTTGACACCGCTATTATTTTAACTACCTTCACTCCTCGTCAATTGTTTTCAAAAGCCACAGTTAGAACTGTAATAAACCTAAACAAATGATGAAAGTGAATTTATACAATTTTTCAGTTCTTGAGAATTTGCAATAAAAAAAATATTAAACATTATTTATTTATTAGATTGTTTATTTACGGCCGCTGACACAATCGAAAATATACATCTAAATTCATCCAGAGATATCTTCACGTGACGTCACGTCTCTAATTCTGTAACCTATTAAGTTTATAGGCTCACCACATTTGCTGTAGCCAACATGAATGCATTTCTAAAGCCGCGTAAGAAAAAAAATAACGTTTTTCCTTTATAAGTAAACATATTTTTTAGTCTAATTCCTTCGGTGATAATATATGAGAATGAAACAAGAGCTTTTGCAGCATAAAACAAAGAGTCAAGGTGAAACATTTAATCCAAAATCCTGATCCGGACTCGCAATGTTGAAATTTTGGATTTCCAAGTTTTCATTATGGGGTCATCACATTTGCTGTAGCCAACAAGAATGCCGACATCGTAAACTGCTTTTCTAAAGCCGCGTAATAAAAAAAAATCACGTTTTGCCTTTACAAGTAAACCTATTGATTAGCCTCTTTCCATCTGTGAAAATATGATATGAACAGATGAGAGTGAAACAACTTTTGCAGCATAAGACAAAGAGTCAACGTGAGATATTTAATCCAAAGAACACCGTTTCTACGACAAAACATGGCGGAAGGATTATCACACTTTGGCGGTGTTTCTCTTCAGGAGGAACAGGAAATTTGGTAAGGTTTATAATTATTATTGGTTATTACTGGTAAGTATAATGTAAAAAGAGGATTATTTTGAAATTTTGGATGTCAATTTCTTGTTATTTTTCACGGAGTTCTGGCCGGAATCCGAACGAATCTAATGGAAGAATTGTTGAAAATAATCCAAATATTGCAACTTTTTTCTGTGGCGGAATGATAACAGCACGACATGCTATATGTCAGTTCCTATAAGAAACGGGGTTGAAGATTAAAAAATGGTAATAAGCCAAAACATGGAATTTAATTAGTATAGAAATATTTTCAGGATATGAATAAAAAATTCTTTGTTCTTTTTTTTCTCACAGAATCCTGGCTTAAATCTATATTGAGTTGTCATGGCGTGGTTTTCAATCTAAATAAAAACAGTCTTTATGATAAAACATCGACGAGAAAGCATGTCACTTTTTCTTTTACAAATAGAAAACAGAGTCTGGTAAGATTTAAGGGTTTAATGAAAGACAAAGCTTATTTTGAAATCTTGGATGTCAACATGAAAGTATCTGTTAGAAATCTGAGACCTAAGCGTGGTTGAAGATTTGTTACGGTCCTGTTCCTTGTACCACGGTGATAGTCCAACGAAGAACCAATAAAGAAGAACTCGAACACGGATATGGAATAACACAGATATATTACAATCAGGAATATATACAGAGAATTGAAGTACAAGTGTTAGTATGAACAATCAGGTTTAGTAGAGAGAACAATGTAGTCTCGACCAGTATCACTATTCCAATGTCTTGCAGTATTGTCTGAACGCGACTCTGTTTCGGACTGCCTCTGACTCGACTCTTGACTCGACTTGAACTACTAACGATATTCTGTCACCCCTCCACTGGGGCAGCATGTGACACAAGGTCGGTTATTTATTGTGGATTCTCTGAGCCCGTGTGCTCGGCCAAAAAATAGCCCATTTGAACCCGTATAAACGGGCTCTGGGCCGGTTTACCTCCCCGAACGAGACTCTGCCCTTTGGCGTAGCCTCGTTCGAGTTCCTCTCCGCCCGAAGGCAGAGAGTTCAACCGAACAGTCGTTCAATACTTGAGCGACTGACGATATTCAGTCCCCCCCACGAGGGTGTCATGTGGCACAAGGCCTTTTTAACGTGGGCATTCCCGAGCCATTAGGCTCGGCCAAAAAATAGCCCATTGAACCCGTATAAACGGGTTCAGGGCCGAGTTTACCTCCCGAAGCAGACTCCGCCCTTCGGCGTGGCCTCTTCGGGTTCCTCCCGCCCGTAGGAAGAGAGTTTAACCGAACAGTCGGTTCAGACTTGAACGACTGACGATATTCAGTCACCCCCCACGAGGGTGTCATGTGGCACAAGGCCTTTTAACGTGGGCATTCCCGAGCCATTAGGCTCGGCCAAAAATAGTCCATTTGAACCCGTATAAACGGGTTCAGGGCCGGTTTTATCTCCCCGAAGGAGACTCCGCCCTTCGGCGTAGCCTCCTTCGGGTTCCTCTCGCCCGTAGGAAGAGAGTTTAACCGAACAGTCGGTTCAGACTTGAACGACTGACGATATTGAGTCACCCCCCCACGAGGGTGTCATGTGGCACAAAAGGCCTTTTTAACGTGGGCATTCCTGAGCCATTAGGGCTCGGCCAAAAAATAGCCCATTTGAACCCGTATAGACGGGTTCAGGGCCGAGTTTTTACCTCCCGAAGGGAGACTCCGCCCTTCGGCGTAGCCTCCTTCGGGTTCCTCTCCGTCCGGAGACAGAGAGTTGAACCGAGCAGTCTGTTTCAAAAAAATGAACGACTGACAATATTCAGTCACCCCCACGAGGGTGTCATGTGGCACAAAGGCCTTTTTTAACGTGGGCATTCCCGAGCCATTAGGCTCGGCCAAAAAATAGCCCATTTGAACCCGTATAGACGGGTTCAGGGCCATTTTACCTCCCCGAAGGAGACTCCGCCCTTCGGCGTAGCCTCCTTCGGGTTCCTCTCGCCCGTAGGAAGAGAGTTTAACCGAACAGTCGGTTCAGACTTGAACGACTGACGATATTCAGTCACCCCCACGAGGGGTGTCATGTGGCACAAAGGCCTTTTTTAACGTGGGCATTCCCGAGCCATTAGGCTCGGCAAAAAATAACCCATTTGAACCCGTATAAACGGGTTCAGGGCCGGTTTACCTCCCCGAAGGAGACTCCGCCCTTCGGCGTAGCCTCCTTCAGGGTTCCCTCCGTCCGAAGACAGAGAGTTGAACCGAGCAGTCTGTTCAAAAATGAACGACTGACAATATTCAGTCACCCCCACGAGGGTGTCATGTGGCACAAGGCCTTTTAACGTGGGCATTCCCAAGCCATTAGGCTCGGCAAAAAATAGCCCATTTGAACCCGTATAAACGGGTTCAGGGCCATTTACCTCCCGAAGGAGACTCCGCCCTTCGGCGTAGCCTCCTTCGGGTTCCTCTCCGTCCGGAGACAGAGTTGAACCGAGCAGTCTGTTCAAAAATGAACGACTGACAATATTCAGTCACCCCCACGAGGGTGTCATGTGGCACAAGGCCTTTTAACGTGGGCATTCCCGGAGCCATTAGGCTCGGCCAAAAATAGCCCATTTGAACCCGTATAAACGGGGTTCAGGGGCTGTTTACCTCCCCGAAGGAGACTCCGCCCTTCGGCGTAGCCTCCTTCGGGTTCCTCCGTCCGGAGACAGAGAGTTGAACCGAGCAGTCTGTTCAAAAATGAACGACTGACAATATTCAGTCACCCCCCACGAGGGTGTCATGTGGCACAAGGCCTTTTAACGTGGGCATTCCCGAGCCATTAGGCTCGGCCAAAAATAGCCCATCTGAACCCGTATAAACAGGTTCTGGGCCGGTTTTACCTCCCGAAGGGAGACTCCGCCCTTCGGCGTAGCCTCCTTCGGGTTCCTCGCCCGTAGGAAGAGAGTTTAACCGAACAGTCGGTTCAGACTTGAACCACTGACGATATTGAGTCACCCCCCCCCACGAGGGTGTCATGTGGCACAAGGCCTTTTTAACGTGGGCATTCCCGAGCCATTAGGCTCGGCCAAAAAATAGCCCATTTGAACCCGTATAGACGGGTTCAGGGCCGGTTTTACCTCCCCGAAGGAGACTCCGCCCTTCGGCGTAGCCTCCTTCGGGTTCCTCTCCGTCCGGAGACAGAGAGTTGAACCGAGCAGTCTGTTCAAAAATGAACGACTGACAATATTCAGTCACCCCCCCACGAGGGTGTCATGTGGCACAAGGCCTTTTTAACGTGGGCATTCCCAAGCCATTAGGCTCGGCCAAAAAATAGCCATTTGAACCCGTATAAACGGGTTCAGGGCTGAATTTACCTCCCCGAAGGAGACTCCGCCCTTCGGCGTAGCCTCCTTCGGGTTCCTCTCAAATCCGGAGACAGAGAGTTGAACCGAGCAGTCTGTTCAAAAATGAACGACTGACAATATTCAGTCACCCCCACGAGGGTGTCATGTGGCACAAGGCCTTTTTAACGTGGGCATTCCCGAGCCATTAGGCCCGGCCAAAAAATAGCCCATTTGAACCCGTATAAACGGGTTCTGGGCCGGTTTAACCTCCCCGAAGGAGACTCCGCCCTTCGGCGTAGCCTCCTTCGGGTTCCTCTCCGTCCGGAGACAGAGAGTTGAACCGAGCAGTCTGTTCAAAAATGAACGACTGACAATATTCAGTCACCCCCCCACGAGGGTGTCATGTGGCACAAGGCCTTTTTAACGTGGGCATTCCCGAGCCATTAGGCTCGGCCAAAAAATAGCCCATTTGAACCCGTATGAACGGGTCCAGGGCAGTTTAACCTCCCAGAAGGAGACTCCGCCCTTCGGCGTAGCCTCCTTCAGGTTCCTCCCCGCTCGTAGGAAGAGAGTTTAACCGAACAGTCTGTTCAAAATGAACGACTGACAATATTCAGTCACCCCCCCCACGAGGGTGTCATGTGGCACAAGGC